TATATATATATATATATGTGTATATATCACCCACTCCAAGGTTTCCATTGATTAGCAGAGAAATAAACAGAAATGGCTGAAGCGATACTGCTCAAAGACAAGAGATGGTCGCTGAGTGGGATGACTGCTCTTGTCACCGGAGCAACCAGAGGCATTGGGTTAGTTATCAGTTACTTCCATTTGGTTCAAAAGTTCTTTTCTATTTAATTTGGTCTGAGCATTTTCTATTACTGATTTATGTTCCTTGAGTTTGAAATAGGCATGCCATAGTAGAAGAATTGGCAGAATTTGGAGCAGTTGTGCATATATGTTCTCGGAACCAAGCAGACATCGACAGGTGTTTGACAGAGTGGAAAAGCAAAGGATTTAGTGTCACCGGATCAGTCTGTGATGTACTCTCTCGTCACCAACGTGAAAATTTAATGGAAACTGTTTCCTCCATTTTTCATGGAAAGCTCAACATCCTTGTAAGTTTCTCTCGTTTAGCGTCTGTCCGTCTCTGCTCTTTTCCTTCCATTCGCTTCTTCCTAATCTTGTTTTTGTTGTATTTGTCATTGTAATAACTCTAAGGAAGAGTGGAGGACTTGGTGATAATTTACTAAACCTGTAACTTCTGTATGCAAGCGATGATCTCATATTTCTCTGCTAAATTTCTGTTGGATCCGAGACGAAGCCACATGAAAATATATGTGTGAATTTGATCCTATGTCCAACTAAAGAGGCATTCTGTTAGGTTCTAGAATAAGAATTGGCCTGGGAGAAGGAAGAGAGGGAAAAGAACAGATGAGAAGGTAGAACAGAGATGTGTGATAGAAAGAGCCTAGAATCAGCATTTGAAATCCTAGGAGAGAAGAAGAGGGAAATTCCTTAATAATATATTTTCATTCATACCCTAATGTCATCATACAGTAGACTTAAATAGGCTGAAAATGTGATTGAAAATAAATGACTAATAACTTCCTGATAACCTCCTATATTCTAAAAAAAAGATTATCAGTAACTGACAATATCGGGAGCACCCAAACTGGTTCTACCAATAACTAGTATTTAAATAACCCCACTGTAATACTACATCTGTTTCTAATTATAAGAGCTAGCTGACTAATTTGAGGAGATTAAGAAAAAAGTTAAGTTAGTTATTTGTAATAAATATGTATTGTCTTTTCTAAAATATCCTTACTAATCAAATATATTGGTTAGAACTACCATTATTAGAAGGACTATCTTAGAAAAAAATACATAAATATAAGAGACAAAGTGAACTAGGTTTTTATATTTAGGACTAAAATAAAAATCAAACAAGATCTTCTATTAAGGACAGGAGGTAGTAGTCTGAAAGGATAACTGAAATATAAAACCACCCAAAACTGAAGATTAAAAATAACTAATTTGTACTACCCCTAACATTGGACTCTAACATTCAAAATTTCTTTTCTCGCCTAAATTTGACCCAGAGAAAATTTTAAGGTGAAGTTTCAGCCCAAGCTTAAACATTTTTTGAGTTTCAGCACTACTTCTATGCTTCTGTAATGGAGTTCTGTGAATGGATTTTTATAAAAACAGACTACAAGAGCTATGTTGATTCGTTAACATTTTCAAAGTTTCAATCGGTCGTTTACAAGATCATATTTCTTTCCTGAATGAACCATTTTCCATTGGACTTCGTTAAGATGTTTTCTGTTAGATAAACAATGCTGCCACAGTGATAGCCAAAGAAAGCACAGATTATACTGCTGAAGATGTATCAACTATAATGCAAACCAATTTCGAGTCAACTTACCATTCGAGCCAACTTGCTCATCCCCTTTTAAAAGCATCAGGATATGGTGCCATAGTAAATATTTCCTCTCTTGCGGGTTTGAAAGCTTTTCCTAATGTTTCAGTCTACGCAGCATCTAAAGGTAAATCTTCTTTTCTCCCATCAATCATCTGAGAGGTAATCCAATTCTATCAGATAATTGGATATTTTGACTGATACAAAATCTGCGCACACATATATAATTTGATTCAGGAGCCATAAATCAAGTCACCAAGAACTTGGCTTTGGAATGGGCAAAGGATAATATTCGTGTCAATGCAATAGCACCCGGAGCCGTGATGACCTTACTTTTAGAGGCTTGCATGGTATAAACATTAAACGCAAACCTGTATAAGCATCAGGCAAATCAGTTTCCTGCACTTGCATTCCTCATTTACTTTGGATTTCTTGCATACTGCTATATATATATACTACTACATTTATATGTACTTTGCCACGTATTTATATATCAGGTCATAGTATTAATTAGTGAGACTTGGAACTGCTTGTAATGTGCATTGTAATTTGTCTTTTTAGGAAAAATCAAGAGGAGAGAATGCAGCAGATGTGATAGCATCGGAAATTCCTGTTGGTCGAATTGGAGAACCTAAGGACATTTCAGCTATAGTTGCATTTCTTTGTCTGCCTGCTGCCTCATACATCACTGGACAAGTCATAAGTGCGGATGGAGGCCAAACAGTTTAAGAAGTTTAGTATTCTGGTCACATGTCAGCCAGAATAAAATTGTCTGTTTTTCAGTCTTCAACCCTTATCTCTCTGTTACTGATTTGGAGATTTTCGTTGACTAAGTTGTTTTAAGCCGACTCATGGATGAAGAATTTTCATTAATTTTCTTTTTTCTGCATTATTAATTTATTATCCGTTCATCCCTATCAAGCCAGAATGCTTTAAGGGACGTACATGGAATGAAACCACTTTGTCTCACACGGATGGGTCTTTGAGGAAAGTGTGAGGATTGTTCTGAGATGTGAACTCCAATCACAGGAACAATAATTGACCCGAAAAAGAAGAACCTTCAATTGCGGCGCAGGAATATGCTGAGAGTGGAGAACATGAGCAGCATCATTTCCCACTTGATAACAGAATTTAGTATGCAGTTGAAAATAATGGAATTTATGCACTTCTGTGATATTTATATTTCTTTTTGGTTATAATTGATTTCCCTCTTATTACTACTCAAATACTTAATGGAAGACTTAATTAACTAATTTGAATAGATTAAGGATGCTAGTTAAATTAGTTGATACTACTATGATCCTAAATGATTATTAATGATACTACTCGTATCGTTAATATAAGATTTAATTAATTAATTTGAATAGATTAAAGAGATTAGTTAAATTATTTGATATGATATGTTTTTTTAAAACACCCTAATTATCTTCCTTAATTCTCTCCTTTTTTCTCCTACTTGATTATTATGGAGGGAATATCAAGAGGGTTAATCTAGAAAAAAATAGTAAACATCTGAAATAAGTTTTACATGTAGTACTTACATTAACTCTCAAATCAAGTCATTTATTCACAAGAGAAGTATGATTTTAGAAACCACATATATCTTCTTCATGCATATGAGTACTAATTAAGAAAATTTACTAACCCAAAACTCAATTTGGTACAAAAATGATCATGAATTATATGTCAAGATTTATAGAAGGGAAAATTGGAGATAAATTTCTCATTAAAAATTTAATTGACAAATAGGATGTAAGTACTTTGTGTAACTTAATTTTTATTGTTTGCAATTTAACTTTCTTTATGTGCAATTTTTTTTTGGGTGCAATAATCTTCCTTTGTGCGATATGTAACTCAATTTTTTTTTTGTGTAAATAAAGTTCTCTTATGTGCAAGTTGTCTTCCTTATATACACCAATTCATTATATCCAAATAGTTTTTAACAAATTATTTTCTCTTTATATAATTTACCTTTTTTGTGCAATCAATCACCCTAAAAACTATTTACTAATTAAATTTGTAAAATTTGTTTGTTTTTTTAATTTTTTTCCCTGACAACGTTGGGCTTAGCAACAACACCACCGGCGGTCACCCGCATCTCCATCTGGGCCTCACCGCTGCCTCTTCCCTCTTCATCTCCCCCACGATTAGGGGTGGAAATAGGCCAGGTCAGGCCAGGCTTTGCTCTTAACAGGCCATGCCTGTTTTGAAGCCTATTGGCCTGAGCCTGGCCTGTGGCCTGTTACAGGCTTACTTTTCAGCCTGAGCCTGGCCTGTATAAAGGCCTGGCCTGGCCTGAAGCCTGTTAAAATGCCTGTATTTTTAAAAAATTCAAATTATAATAATTTATTTTTTAAAAAAAGCTAAGATAAAAAAAAAACGTATATAATAATTTAATTTTTAGTCTTATCTTTTATTTAAATTTTAGTATCATAAGTACTATTTTAAATCTTAATTATAATTTATAAGAATATTATTGAAAACTAATTGTAATTATATGTTAAAATTTGGAATAAGACTACGTTTAAGTACACACAAAAAATTAAAATTAAGACAAATAAATAAAGAGGAAAAAAATACTAATTTTATAATGAATAAAGAGGGTATCATACTTAAATTAACATAATACGTAAGTTAGTTAATTTATCATTCTTGGAACCAAATTTTTCTTTCCTATTTTCTTTATATTTTTAAGATTTAAAAATCACATTATTTATTGATATTATTATTTTAAATTATATTTTTATCTTCACTTGTCATCTAAACTTCAAAATTTAAGAAAAGATCAAGCTATTAACTATATATTAAAATTAAAAAATAAATTAAAAGAGCACATTAACAATAATAGTATTAATTAATTTTTTTATATATTATGATTATAAATTCCTGACAGGTCCAGGCCGGCCTAACAGGCTTAACAGGCTTTTTAAAAAGCCTAAACCTAGCCTATTTAACTAAACAGGCCTTCAAACAGGCCTGAGCCTGTCTTTTTTGAAAAACAGGCCAAACCAGGCTAGGCTAAATACAGGTCAAGCTATAGGCCCCTGACAGGCCGCCTGGCCTATTTCCACCCCTACCCACGATCATCAACCTCCTCCCTAGGCTCCAGCGAAGTCTGTCTTCTCTGTTCCAATTCCCTCGTTAGATTGCTGACTGCAGAAAAGGTACCATTAACTTCTCTTCCTGCCGCTGTAGAATCAGAGACGGAGAGAGCTAAAAACTTGATAGGCTTGCTTCCACCGGAAGTTCAAGATATTATAAATATAGAATCTTCAAAATCCTTGTAACGAGGCGACGCAGCTTCTTGTCTTCCAGGATTAGCAGTGGTGTTGTCAGAAGAAGGCGCTTTCAAGAGGCAGCAAGGCTCACCTGCAATGAAATCGCAATAAGAAATTAAGGTCCAACAAAGTCATTGTAGATTAGAAAAATGACACTTCTCGGCTTTGGTTTTTTTTACCCCCTACTGAATTGATCTTAGATGCATTTCTTTATATTTTTCGCGATCAAGTTTCTTTTTTGGCATTGCATTATTAAATAAGCCCGCTATCGGATCAAACGGGCCCTTATTTTTATTTTCTTTTAAGCGAGCACTTGAAATTTGGCCCTGCAGAGTCGAGTCGAGTCAATCCCTATTGCTAACTGAACGCAGGAATTTGGATGGATGGTCTATATTGTTTGAGAAATTGCATTTGATAGGCACACATATTCGACGATATGAATCCTAGGTCATTGCAAACGTTGGTTATGGGAACTGGAGTCATCTTGGGTGGGATTCTTACTCTCAACCTGGCTTCTACTGTTACTCTCAAGACCCTTCATCTTGTATCTGAGAAAAAACGGGTAAAAACTAGCTAAGATTCATGTCTTTCGGGAGTTTTTCTAACTGTTCCCCCTCCGGTTTTGATTTGCTTTTGTTCCCTTCACAAATGAGACGTTTGAGAATGTGGGTTTTGTGCAGAAAAAGGTTGCTTTGCCTTGCATGGCTTGTAGAGGGAAGGGGTTTTATATATGCAAGCTGTGCAAAGGAAATTCCACCATTGAATGGTCCCCTTTGTATGACCCTATTGCCATTAATCCTTGCCTTTGTCCTACTTGCGAGGGAAATAGGTTAGCTCTTTAATTTCCTGATTCCCTTTTCTTTTGCTTCTCCTTGATATGCAAATTTGCTTATTCCTATGTTGAATACTGGGGAAAGAATTTCCTCCATGTCTCACTATACTTGCTGAGTTCTGTAACGTAAGAAACAGATCATTTCATATCGAAAGTACTTCGACGCAATCCAATTATTTGGTGTCAAATTGATTAGAATTATAGAAAGTGATGATATAATCTTCTTCTCGTGGAAGAGTTAACGGTGGGATGCTGAGTTATAAAATTTGTCTAAATATTATCAGTGACCTCATGGCAAAGCTAACTCCTTGTGGACATTACTTAGACTCCTGTTCCCTGATAACTGATTTATGAATATAAACTGACTCTCCGAACGCTTAGAATTCAGTTAACTTGAAAGCTATGCTTTCTGTTGATTCTGTCGATGAATTTGAGATTAATGTGTTCTGCACCATCCTTTGTTATATAAACTGTTTTTGTTTTCCAATGGTTATACATGGTATTGCAGGGTGCAACGCTGTCTAAACTGTCTAGGAAAGGGCTACGATTGATCCGTTTAGACATGCTGCATTGTTTTATGTTCCAGTGGACGGTGATTTTCTAAGTGAGTGACTTGCCTTTAACTTGAAAGTTTATCCCTACTCAGTTACCTGTTGCCTATTCCTATGCCATGAAGACTCTATTTTGATATTTTCACTGTTTCTGTTTAAGGATTAAGGAAGCACCAAGCTCCGATGTTGGACAAACCTTCATTATGCACCAAATTCTTTACGTTAGATTAGTTTACCGAGGAAGATGTTCACACTATTGTCTGCAGTATCGTACTGTCATGATTGAACATATTTCTGTTTATGTATTGATTTCCTCAAGGTATGGCTTATTAACACGATCTCAATCTCCATCTCTCCTACTCTAATTTAACTTCCTCAATGAGGACCCGTTGTAATTTTTTCGGTGTTAAATTTTCTTACGCCGAGTGCTTCTTCATACACTGGAAATAGATAGTTGTTGTTTTTTTTTTTTATTCAAACGAGGGCTTACTTAAGGCCTAAAACAAACTAAGAGACTACCCTATAGAGGAACTCGGACCAAGAGCTTCTTTATCCACCAGCGATCGAAGGTTCTGTGGACGTGAGACCCAAAGGTTGGTGGAGGAGAACCCATGCCAGAGCATCTGCCAAAGAATTCTTTTGCCTAGATATATGCATCAAAGATAGTTGGTTCTTTTTTTTTTTGCCACAGAAAGGTAGTTGGTTCTAATTGTTACAAGCAACTGTCTTTTTTTTGTTCTGGCCTCGCTTAGCCCAACTAGCCAATTTTGGACAAGAAAACAAAAAAATTAATTGATGGAGTATTTCGCCCAAAATAAAAGTCTATGGGGTCTAAAACTAATTGTAGATGTTGAGGAGATAAATTCCAAAATGTTCTGAATGAGAGAAATCCTTTGTAGATATTGAGGAGATAAATTCCAGAATTTTCCGAATCAAAGAAATCCTTCGTATTATTATAGCCAGAAAAGCTGGGCCGTGGCGTTTCCAAAGATCCAAGGCATCATATCATATAACATCACCAAAGACTTTACAAGAGTTTGTTTCTTTCTATAATCGGCCTGCACTTGCATTTCGTGACTCATAATGTTTTCGGTTAGCCAAGCTTTCACTATCACTGTCTTACCATGGTCTGGTATAATTTTTTTTTTTTTCAAATTAAATCCTAGCCTGACGGCATACAATCGATATGAAAATTTATATGACAAAAAAGTGTTTTATATTCACACTGTGTTCTTCGAATATCATCAAACATATAGAAAGTGGTGAATGCTTTGTAAAAGGCATTAGTAATAAATTATAAATAATATGAAGCATATCTAGTATATAAATAAAATAATTAAATCAGGGAAGGATGCTAGAGTTTAAGAAAATTTGATGTTAGAACTAATGAGAAATAAGTTTGAACTTGAAGATTTCTTCCATCGATGTTGATTTACGAAGTATCTTACTCTTCTAGGATAACTTATGCGGTCCTAATACATTCTCCACTGTCGTCCAATCACTTGGAGATCCGAATCTACTGATCAGCATCAATAACACTATCACGGTGGTCCTGCTCTTGGAAGCCATTGTATTGTATTGTTTTGTCAAGATTCACCGTTGTCCACCCAAAAAAAGAAAAAAGCTTCACTGTTTCACTATAGTTTAGCGAATAGGGCAAGTGCAGTAAGGCTCGTTCCAACCACCACGTCAACTTTTTTGCAACTTGTCCACTTAATTTTAGTCACTTTCAAGCATTCATTTATAACCACATATATGCATCTTATGTTTGTTCATCTAAATATGAATACCACAAACACCTCACAGACACTTGTTGGTTTATCACCCCCTCCAAGGTTTGCATTGATTAGCAGAGAAATAAACATAAATGGCAGAAGCGGTACTCAAAGACAAGAGATGGTCGCTGAGTGGGATGACTGCTCTTGTCACCGGAGCAACCAGAGGCATCGGGTTAGTTATTAGTTACTTGCATTTGATTCAAAGTTCTTTTCTATTTGATTTGGTCTGTGCTTTTTCTGATACTGATTTATGTTTGTTGAGTTGGAAACAGACATGCCATAGTGGAAGAATTGGCAGAATTTGGAGCAGCTGTGCATATATGTTCACGTAACCAAGCAGACATCGATATGTGTTTGAAAGAATGGAAAAGCAAAGGATTTAGTGTTACTGGATCAGTCTGTGATGTGCAGTCTCGCGACCAACGTCAAAATTTAATGGAAACTGTTGGTGTCGTTTTTCATGGAAAGCTCAACATCCTCGTGAGTTATATATCTATGAAATCATGTTTTCTTCTATGCGTAGCAGAAAAAGATATATTTAGTTATTTTTATAAGTGGGGAATTGACTTTAGTCTCTACTAGTTATCCTTATCTTTGAGACATGATCATGTTTTAGTGGATTTCATCCAGTGATTTCGTTTTAGATAAACAATGCCGGGACAAGTGATGTTAAGGAAAGCCTGGATAACAAAGCTGAAGATATATCAACTATGATGAGCACCAATTTTGAGGCTACTTACCATTTAAGCCAACTAGCACACCCTCTTCTAAAAGCATCAGGAGATGGTGCTATTGTAAATATCTCCTCCATTTCCAGTGCCAAAGTGCTGCCTCTTGTTTCAGCCTATGCAGCTTCCAAAGGTAAATATACCTTCTTTTTCTCTCATCAATCGTCTGCTTCACCTCTGACTGATAACCTAATTACCTGAATACTTTGATACGACACCTGCAAATTTAATTTGATACAGGAGCCATAAATCAAATCACCAAGTACATGGCAAAGGAATGGGCCAAAGATAATATTCGTGTCAACGCAATAGCAGCTGGAACTGTGATGACCGTACTTTTAGAGTTTTGCATGGTATAAGCATACCAGTTTCCTGCACTTATGGTCCTCTATTATTTCACGGAAGCTTGCATGTTGCGGTATCTACAATTATATTTTAGTATTCTCATGTTGGGACTTGAGAGAGCATACATGCTGAGGAGATTATTTTAGGCATTATGTTTCACTTGATTTCAAGAGTATGCATGTAAATGAGTTTGGAACCACATAAAACTTCCCTTTATAGACTACAAACACTTTGCATTTGTGTTTCCTATTATTTCATGAAAGCTTGTATATTATTCTAATATTGTCATGTTGGGACTTGAGAGAACATTACCTGTCAAAGAGATCCTAATTGGGTTTGAACTCTAAGGCATTAGATTCAAGGGTCTTCTTCTTTATAAATTTAAATCCTCTCTTCTGCATGTTAAATTATGTTATCCAATGAGACTTGGTACTGCTTATGATTCCCGTTTTAACTTGTTTTCTCAGGAAAAATCACCAATGGGAGAAAATGCAGCAAATGCTTTTGCGTCCCAAATTCCTGCTGGCCGAATAGGAGAGCCTAAAGAGATTTCAGGAATGGCTGCTTTTCTTTGCCTTCCTGCTGCCTCATATATCACTGGACAAGTTATATGTGTAGATGGAGGTTTCACTCTTTAAGTAGTTTAGCCTCATTTGTAGTTGCTTCAAGTCAGCCAGAAACTCCTACCACATATCATATGTAGGAGCTGGCCATGCTCAGTCAAGTTCACATTAGAAAGCTGCTGTTTTGTTATGTTGACAGCGTTTGAATTTATATTTCTTCAGTAATGACTTTAGTATCCAGACCTCTTCTTTGTTTAATGAAAATGTATAGCCCTAATATCCTTATTCACATGAACCTTTCTTAGCTTAAAGATTATAAACATACTACAACCTAACCAAATTGAGAAAGACTTGTCTTCAGTGTCAAATGGCAAATAATTTGTTCCAGTGACTTAAGTATCCTTTAAAGGTTCGATGTATTAAAGAAAAGTGTAGCAGTTTGAGTCATTCTTTCATCTCTCTAAAGGGGATTTATATTTTAACTTTTATCGCCTTCTAAATCAACGATGATAAAACAATGCACTGCTGGCTGTGAAACCTAACAATCCAAAATCTGCTATGAGGTGATTGGTTTCATTCCATAATATGTTCCTAATCATAATCAATGTTAGAAGAGTTTATTTGCATTGTCTGAGAAATATGTTGTTTGAATTTCACTGTCACTATCTTTGGAGAGACACATCATACGGTTAAGTAACTGTAAACAACCATGGAACACTCTACTATTTATAATCACATGTCAATCATTATTCAAGTATTCTATCATGGTAATAAAGAATTTAAAACCCAAACAACAATGATTTTCATGGTAAAAAGTTTGAAAAACAATTTCAAACTGTTGGCCACAATAGAAAATAACAAAACTCAATATTTACTGCTATGAATAAAAAATGACTTGTGATTGCGAAACTCCACAACACACTATCATGGTAAAAAAGATTTAAACATGATAGAAAAGATTCAACGTAATTCAAAGTATGTCAAAAGTAGGCTAGGGCATGTTCGAGACACAATACAATAACTCACCATAATCTCACTAAAACAAAGCATGCATGAAGCTCATCTCACTGGACCTGTCTAAACATACCCATTTAGTCCAAACATTTCCAACTCAACTATAATCCAATTCATAACTCATAAAGCCATTCAAACAGAAACTGCTGGTCTCTTTCTTTCTCCCCCGCTCCCCTCCTGTGCTCTAGTGCAAAGATCAACTTCAAAGACGAAAGGCAGTTACAGAGTGGGAAGCGGTGAGGCCTAAGTAAGTTGTCACTTATAATTTTGAGAGCAATCTATCACTTGGTTTGTACTTCCAGACTTTAACTGATCTTTGTTCACACCCCTCACCTATCGACTACTTTTAATGGCTTCTTTTGTTTGATTCTTGGGCTAATACACATTCTCAAATTCCAGCTCATTGGCATTCTGAATTAGTTCCAAAAGAAATAGATACAAGAGAGAAAGTACTTCGATTTTCTTAGGTCTCTGTGTGCTCTTAGGAATCTATTTGATTATATAAAGCTGACATCACGTCCAATATCATAAGAGTCCATTTTTATCTCTGGACTATGGTCCTATGATCTTTCACTATGTTGCTAACTTCCAAATCCAAGTGATTATGATTCACAAGCAAGCATTTAATCGTCACCACATGTTTCCATCAATAATATTACAACTACCAGATGCTATGATCTTTGTAAACAAGTGGACGTGTTGATTTCCTCTTTCAACATCACAACCAGCTCAAAGAAAGTGCAAGTTTTTTTTCTGCTATACACCACAACTCTTAGGATTCCATTGTTTGGCGACAAGAGAAATGAGCAAACCAAAGTTGCTCTGCAAAGACAAAGGGTGGTCACTGAGTGGTATGACTGCTCTTGTGACAGGAGGAACCCGAGGCATTGGGTTAGTTATTACTTAAAGTTAATTAATAGTTATTCTTTATTGATCTTTACTTTCTGCTTTGGATTAATTTTTTCTGTCGATTCAAAATTAGGTATGCCATAGTGGAAGAATTAGCAGAATTTGGAGCAGCTGTGCATATATGTTCACGTAACCAAGAAGACATTGATAAATGCCTAAAAGAGTGGGAAAGCAAAGGATATAGTGTAACAGGATCAGCTTGCGATGTACTATCTCACAACCAACGTGAGAATCTAATGGAAACAGTTGCCTCCATCTTTCATGAAAGCTCAATATCATGCTAGGGCTTCATTGATTAGCCTTCAGACATGATCATGATACTTCTTTACTAAACCGGTTGAGTTTCAAACTGTAAATTGTTTTTTCTCAGATTAGTAATGCTGGGACACTAATATATAAGGAAGCCAAAGATGGGACTGCTGAAGATATGTCAACAATAATGGGAACCAATTTTGAGTCAGCTTACCATTTGAGTCAACTTGCATACCCACTTCTAAAGGCATCAGGATGTGGTAGCATAGTAAACATATCCTCTACTTTAGGCGTGAAATCCTCCTCAAGTGTTTCAGTCTATGCAGCATCTAAAGGTATCTTTTCTTTTCCTCATTAATCATCAGCTTCACCTGAGAGTTATTTGACCTTTACCCATCTGCATAATTTTATTCAGGAGCTATGAATCAAGTCTCCAAGAACTTGGCATTTGAATGGGCTAAAGATAACATTCGTGTGAATGTTGTAGCACCAGGACCTGTGAAGACTGTGCTATTGGAATATTTTATGGTATACACACCAGAAAATATGTCCAAATTGTTTATGTATCTCATGAGTCATATCACTTGTCTATTTTCAAGTACAGTAGCAGATACAAGCTTTCAACTTGAATATCGTTATGGAAAACAAAGAAATCTTGAATAATTTTTTCCATTATCTACTACTATATTTGAATCACATTCCTCATGTTATCAAATGGTACTGGATGCTATGCTAAGTATTTATGTAATCTGCATTAATTCTAACTGTTCTTCTCACAGAATGTATCTAAAGGGAAAGATGTGAATAATAAAGCGTCAGACACTCCTGTCGAATATCGTGTAGAAGAGCCTAAGGAGATTTCAGCACTGGTTGCTTTTCTATGTTTACCAGCTGCTTCATACATAACAGAACAAATTGTATTTGCAGATGGAGGTTCCACATTGTAAAAAAAGGAAAAAAGCCGGTTTTGTCACTGCCGGGTTACCCTGTAAATTTCTACGATTGAAGCCAGCTATGAGAAACTCCAAATTAGTGACATGTTATTGGAATGTGTGTGTGGTTGTTGTTTGTACCTGTCACTCAACAGACGTTTGAATTCATCAGATTATGATCTTTCTTTCCTAACATTTCATCCATCCCAGCAGAAAGTTCCACACTAAGTTTAATCTTCAATTACTTCACCAAGTGGGAAACACCGAATTTTTCAGCTTGTCTTCTCTTGGATTTTCTGTCTGTTAAAGCTATGGATGAGAATAAGGCACTACAAAGATCAACAACAGGTTAAGTTATGGGTAGTGCTCCTCTGGTATGATGACCACACGTCTCATTCCCATTCCACAATCTACAACTACCTTTGAACAAGGCAACTGGCAACGTGTAGAATGAGTCTGACATCTTTGGATCTTAATTTTAAGGGGCGGTGAAATATTTCTTAGAAATAGAAATGAGAATATGAATGCGATGTGATGGAGTAAGATCAATGTATAGTCGCAGGAATCTTGACTATTTACATGGGAATAAGAACAGGATTTGTGGACTGAGTGTATTTGGTTGACTTATTTGCAAATTCCTTTAAAATTACACACGTTCCCAGCTTCCCAATAATTTATTGGAGCTTTGATGAGCAAGAACAACATAGTAATGATGTTTCGGAAAAGATAGCTGGTTAAACAGTTATCATAAGCTTTCTGTAATGAATGTATGTGTAAAATTCATTTTCATATGATAAATTTTTGTAACCACTATCAAGAGCTAACCATATCATTGCGTGGCTTGGTTGGATAAAATTTAATTTCTGTCCTGAAAGTTTTCTGGTAGAAAACTGTGTCTTGGAGATCATGTTAATCACATAAATCTTGGTTTAGCAGTCCCCTGGGCATTAATGATTCATTGCTAACTAAAATGGTGTGAAACTTGCATACAGGGATCCTCGTTGTGTGAAAATTACATATAAATTCCCTCCTATGTGAGAATTACATATCAATTCTTTGATTTACATGGTTTGCTTAGCAGGTCTTCATTGAGTTGTGCACCTTGTCTCATCTATCCTGTTTAGTTGAATGAAGTTTGTGTTCATGAGGGTTCGTTGGGAGGGACTGGTATAGAAAAGGCCTATGATAAAGGTATTATGTTGCTCTCTTATCCTTGGGTTGATTATTGTTAATTGATTTGTTTTGCTAGCATGTTGCCATTATTGTTATCTTCTTTTTTTAAAAAAAAAAATCAACAGACACTTCTATAAAACAAGTAGAATGATTACAACTTAAAAAGCCAGCTCACTACAATTACTTAATTTGAATAAAGCCCAACCAAACCAAAAAAGTTAGTCCCGCTATAATTGAAAGGAAAGGCAGCGAATAAACACAACTAACGAAATGTAACGAGGATCAGGAATTCGGTTAGCAGAAGGGGCTAGTCTCTTATAATATAATGAACTAAGCTTTGAATTCCCACTAGAATAGATATCCATATTTAGTGTCCGACAGTACCTCGAATATGATTGCTTTCAATAGGAGGATACCTATGCTCTAGCAAAAAAAAAAATATATAATGTGTTGGTGGGTGATCTATAAGTATTCTCTTCGTCTTAAAGTATACCTCGAGTCTAGTGAGCCTTCAGGACTCAACTCATAATTTTTTTCACAACTAAAAAAAATTGAAAAACAAACTGCAGGAAGAAAACGGAAATACATGCAACTAAAGATCTTCCAACTTCGATCCTATCCTGAACATCTTCCAACTTCGATCCTGTCCTGAACCACACAACACCAAACAAACTGATAAGAGGAATTTGTATAATCCTCGCTGGAAAGCAATTCCTCGGAAACCCGTGGTTGATTATTGTTAGTGGGTATCGCTGCTTTATATTGAATGGATTGGGTACAGTGTAGAGTTAGATTGATTTTGGGAGACTGATGACATGAGCTTTTAACTTTTTTTTTTTGGGCAAAGAAAGAGGCTTAATGCCCAAACAACAGCAACTAAAATATAATGCTCCAATACTTAATGAATATCCTAATTGCTGAGTTAATTTTAGTTTTAAATATAAGTATATTTTTCATATTTATTAATTTTTTAAAATTATTTT